TTTGTTTCATTTGATTTAAGGGAAGGTAGATAGCTTTAACCTCTGTTTGTTCGATGATTTCTTTAAGTTCTTTTACAGAGGTTCCCTATGGGAGGTTTGTCAGTGTCACACTATACTGGTTCCTTTTCTCTCTTGTGATGCGGGTTCTGACCAAAAAGAATGTCGTCATACAAGTGGTCTCCATATATATAGCCCATTTTTAGACTTGTTCCTCATATGCAGTTGTCATTTTGAACTGGATTGTTTCAGATTTAACCTGTCCTACTGCTTGTAGCGTAATATATTCAATCTGTGTGCTGTCTTGAAAGAGATTGGTGATATCTTTTTTTTGGAAGTGGCTGGGGATGTTCCAAACTCTGATGGAATGGTTTTTGTTTTTAGTAGTATCAATTTCAGGGGCTAATCTAAAATTGGAGTTTCCATTGTCAGTAATCTGGATCTCAAATGCAGTCATGGCCTCATGGTAACTTCCAAAAATGGCAGTAGTGTTGGTGATCCAATTGGTTCCTCTGTGCACATGTGTTTCAAGATTTTTAGATACCCCAATTTATTGTGAATGTAATTGAGTTTTTCTTCAATTAAGGAGTCTGGTACTGCTTCCAGTTCAATGAACATCTTGCCTGGATGAAGTGTGTTATGGTCCTCTTAGGTATCTGTCTATCTTGTTTCTTCTGTTGTCTCCTTTGGATTGCTGTCGTAGCTGAAGCTGTTCAGGGTAATATCATTCTGGTTTCTTGGATTCTCTTCTTCCTCTCTTGTTACTAATGATGTTGAAGTTACTGTTATTGGTGAGATTGGTCTGGTTTCGAAAGTGTTCGTTTCCTCTGCTTGTGATGTAGTAACTGAGATGTCTATCTCTTGTTCTGGATTTTCATCTTGTTCCGTGATTTCTAGCTCCATAGTTTTTGGATTCTGTGTGCTGACCTGGGGTTTCTCTGGTTTCTTCTTTGCTTTCTTTCTTCCGGTTGTTATTTGGTTCTTTTTTGTGCTAGTTAATGGATTAAATTTGTTTCCAAGCTTAGTTTTCAAGAGCGGTTTTGAGATTTTGCCACTATCTGTGATAATTCTTTCTCCTGTATAGTTAACTGTTGGGTCTTTTGCCCTGATCAACTTCCTTGATATGTTGGTTAGGGGAGCTTGTTGCAAGCATTTTGTTTTTTCTTCAATGTTTTGGGTTATTATCATAAAAGGAAATTTTCAACAATTTTGATGCGAGTTGGAATGTATAGTATCTATATAATGTTTGATTATTGTCTATTTTTTTCTGTTTTCTTTCTATTACTGTATAATTGTTTATTTTTATGGCAATCTAGTAGGGTCTCATTATATGTATTTCAGTAGGAGGACTGTATTGTAAAAACTGATTTATATATTCTTATTTCTATTTTGTGATTTATATTGTTAAGTTGTGTTATAGTATAAAAAACCATGTAGAAGTTGGACCTGATACTGTCTTGTGATAAATTTTGATAATATGACACTATTATAGAACCTTTTTTTTGTTTCCATTAAGAAGTTGTCCAGTAAAAAGTATATTGTGTTTCCTTAATTATGAGCTGATTTTTCTATATATCTCTAGATCTATTATTTCTTTGATGGTGGTGTCTACTTTTTTATTATATGGAATTTGCTATAGTGTATTCTGTGGAAGGCAAAATTATATGTTTTAAGCATCTAATTAGTTTCATATATCAGTTTCTTTCTGGTTCAAGTATAGGAAAAAGAAAAAATTATATATCTCTTTAGTGGATTAAAACATATTCTGTAATGATAGAAGATAGTGATAATTGATGTTTTCTATAAAGTTCTCTTGGTTAATTCTGGTCACTAGTTATTGGCATGTAACTGAACTTGTCTGTCTCAGAGGTGCATCATGTTATATTCAAATTTATTATATAGTATGCTGTTGGTGGTTGTCTTGGTGAGTCTGACTTTGTGCTTTAAGAAAGATGTGAGTTTGCTCATCAGTTGGTTGCAGGTTTGTCTAGTTAAGATGATGTCATTGCAAATATACTCAATTCTAGGCATTAGGACATGATTGATAATGTATTGTGCTTGTTTGTCAATTAATTTTTTCATGCCTAGGAGTGTGCATGTGTTGCTATCTTTTGTCTTATTAGAGCTTTCTGATTTCTTTTTGACCTGAGATATCATATCAGACACCAAGGATTCTACTGGTGTGTTTGCTGGCATCCCTGTACTTTTTGACTATTCATTCTTACTCCTAGCTGGCATTCTCTTTCTGTTGCATTAATGGCAATTTGCTGTGACTTTGCTGGGTTGACTTAAATGTTATTTATGTGGTAGAAGTCTTCTGCCGTATCTATTATTCTTTTAATATCACTTTTGTTGCTCGTCAGCCAGGTAGTATCATCCAAATAGGCACTGACAGCGATGTTGGTTGTCTTGTTTGTCCAGCCTTTCTTGGAAACATCAATAAATCTTAATGTCTTCATACTCAATGCGAAATATTATTTAACAAAATAATTTACGATTTAAACTTTCTGCGTCTAAATAACGTTTTCGGTAAAACTTTATTTGAATTGCTCTAATTAATCATGCATAAAATTAGATTAATAAAATTTTAAAAGAAGCAATTTTTTTAAATCCAAATGGCTCTGTTTTCAAAATTTATTTTGTTCAAATATTTTTTACAATTTAAAATTTATTTTTTTTTTTTTTATTTCATTTATAGAAATTATATAAAATAATATTTGTAATTCAGCATTATATTTTGTTTCGATCATTCAGTTTAGTATCCCTTAACTATGAATCACAATACTCAAGCAAGTATTCAGCTCATACTGATGTACTCAATGTTGTATTTCATCATTACTACTTGATTTCGACCACTTAACTTAGCATCATTTAAAGCCGAAGCGGCATTCTTAAGCAAGTCTTCGGAAGATAGTGCTGATGAATTCAGTGATGTTGCAATTCCAATGCTAAGTGTTATTTGTAAATTTATGCCCTCATAAATAAACGAATGAGCCTCTACCAACTCTCTAACATTTTCAGCAACGTCATATGCAGCATATCTGTTTTTAGGAAGAATAAGAAATTCATCCCCACCAAATCGTGCGAATATATCTTCAGAGAGAACACAAGTTTTAACAAATGAAGCCAACTCCTTCAAAACGTAATCTCCTGCCATACTATTAATGTTGTTAATTTCTTTGAAATGATCCACATCAAATAATATTATACTTATTTCGGAATTGTTTCTATTTGAGTTATTAAATTCTTCTTCCAGCATTTCTTTGAAATAACAGAAATTATATACATTAACTCCATAAGTCCGTAATTTCGGATCCAGACGATTTTCGTATTTACCGTCAGAGTAATAGCGAAAGACGGCATTTCCCAGTTTAATCTTGACTCCATTTTTTAATAAATGGCATACTTCATAATCAAGTTTACAATCATCAATAAAAGTCCCCGAAGAAGATCCCAAGTCCTTAATTTCGAAATTATCATTATGCTTTTCTATTTTTGCATGTTCCTTGGAAGCATATTGGTGCTTAATAACAATATCATTTGAAGAGTCTCTCCCTAATTTTGTCTCGTGTTTGTTGAGAAAAAACAACCTATTTTTCGGATCACCCTCAATAACCTCCAGAAAAGCCCCTCGTTTTTCTTCATTTTCTGCTGCATTCTCCCCTAACAAAATTTCAGGAGCATATGCGCATTCACTGTATGAATTTTTGCGATTAATAGTACAAAGGTATCTTGTGATAATTTCAATTGAAGGTCGTTTTTCATGATCTCTATTCCATGCACTTTCATAAATCTCCAAATAATCTACTGGTGTCCCATCAATGGGAACTTCTTTGCCTTCGTCGACGATTTTCGAAGGAGATTTGCCACTTGATATCTTCCATAATAATTCTCCTAGACTATAAATGTCCGAGGATTTTCTTTTTTTATATAATGAAGGGTTTTTATGATATTCGCGATCTACATAAGGGTCATTTATTTCATAAGCGCAAAATACGTCACCAGAATGCACATTATCATTGATATCTACAGATAAGCTGAATCCCGCAATTAATGTTCGGTTGTTGTGTATCAAAATGTTTCGAGGATTCTATTAATTGTAGATACGCTTTGTTATTACAGAATACAATGATCCTACATTTTACATGCGAATATGTGTACTACCAAATTTCCATGAATAATGTTTCCATCGTGAATAAATTTCAATCCTTTAGCAATATCATTTGCAATTTTTATTTTATCATCCCAGATCAGCTTAGAAAATGTTACTTTCAAGTAATTTTCAAGATTGACATCGCTAAAATATTGAAGAACCATAAAATGTTTTCCTTGATGATCTAAAATGTTATCAGTTTAACACGGTTACTATAATTAATGCCAATACTATATAAGAATTAAATTTGAATAGTAAATATATTAAAATCTAACCTTGTCCAACGCCCATAAAAGAAACTATGTTTTCATTTCGACAAATTCTGTTCAAATTCTGTAAATTTTGAACATATGAATTGTAAAAGTATTTGAATAACTAAAAAATGTTCAATATAAAATAAAAATCCAATAAAGTAATGTTGCATACAATACCTCTCCGCTATATTTATTACTCTTCAAGTATTTAAGGCAAACTTGAGCTTTATGTCTTTTTGAATAAGCCTTCTTAATATTCTTAATATTTTCTGATATTTCCGTCACATTCATTAACAATTTATAATCTAAATTATCGATCAAATTCAATCTTACCGCATCATCTAAATTAGAATATTTTTCTGAAATACACTCTTTAATTATTCTTGAACTCGTGTTGCCATTACTCGAAATCTGGTTTGTACTATATATTTCATTTTGATCCTTTTTTGTGGGAGGCGTAAAGCAAAAGTAACGAAATTTTTCTTCTCTAACAAAAAATCTGTTATTTTCGTTATCGTGCACAAACTTTTCGCAAAGAATTTTTCTATTATTTTGAAAAATGAAGTCGTGTGAACGCCTGTCCGGACTTTCCGAAATTAAGCTTATATATTTTATATCATTAAAACATTGCGGTTGTTCCAGAAGCATGTTTTTTCCATCTGATGTACCTAATATATTGATGGTTAATTTTGTATTTCCACGATAATTTGATCTTTCAAAACAATGACCAAAAACACAAGCACTAATGTTATCTAAATTTTGATGAAAATAATGCCCAATCGTTAACGTTTTTTCGGGAGACTCTAGTATATTGGTTTCAAGAGCTCCTATAAAGCCATAGTTGTATGCGTTGCCGAGAATTTGTGGATTTAGATCGTAAAATTTGGATATTTTTTCATGATAAAATTGATCATTTTGTAGTTGAATATTTAACTTTTGAGTTATTATATGAGATTTGTAATTTAAGCTCTTGATCATATATCTGGCATCTGGGCAATATCCGACTACGATCCATCCTATCCTTAAATGAATACTCCTTTTTCTGTTTGGCTTTATACGATGAATAATCATGTGAGATTTATGAGAACTCGGGCGATAAAGCCAAAATGCAAAAATATCATTGTCGTCCTCATGCATATTAACTAATGTTGCAAATACTTGAGAATCTATAAGATGGTTTGATACTATCTTATGAGGTATATCGAGACTTTTTACAATATGTCCATTAAAATCCGAAATCTCAAAATCTCTGTCATAGGCTTTAAGAATCACTTTTCCCCTAGCTAAAATCAAATTTTTTTGTAAATCATTATCTAGTAATTCGTATATGCTTTTTAAATTTAAATAATTGACTGGCTCCCATTCTGCGGGGTTATTGAGTGACTCAGTCCAGGTCTTTTTATCGCCACCATACATAGAAATCTTATCGCCCCCGTATACATGCAATTTATCTCCTTCAAAATTTATTCTTCCTCCAAAATGAACGATCGTTGGTATAAAGGTACCGAAATTATCTATAATCTTTTGAAGTTTTTCGATATCTTTGGATTCAATAAAATTATATAATGCATCTTTAAATTCGGGAGAAATTTTAAATATCCCTTTAGTAATGTTTATGCTGGCTTTAGGAAAGTTTTCATATTCATGCGCTAAAGATTTCTTAGCAATATCTTTATTAGACATTAAGGTCTCAAATTGCCCATCAAAGTAAATTAATTCAACGATGCTCTCATCAGATAAAAAACGCAAATCTTTATCATCTTGTATCCAATGTGAGTTTTTTGGAAGTTTGAGCCTTTTAATCTCACAAAATCTATTGGGTAATTCTGCCAATTCACAATAGGATATATTGAATGCTTTCTTTTTTGCTATCTGAACCCTTCCATTTATAATATTGTACCCGTAGTCTAATTTAAATTCATCTACCAGTTTTTCCCAATATGGATTCCTTTTGACATAAACCTTGTTTTCATATAGACATACACCTACTGTATATTTATCCTCGTCTGAAATCGGAATTCTAGTCGATCTATCTTTTGATAAGAATACAAAATGCTCCATTTTGAATTCACTATTTTTTTCGAGTTTTTCTCGAGCATACTTCAAGTTATTT